GGAGCCCTCAGAATGCCCTGCCCTAACAGTGTCTTTGTTTACCTGAGTGTGTTAGCCATGCCAAATTATTGATGCTAACAAGGTGTTAGACTGGGGGCTTTTAGCTCAATCTTTGGGGAGATAGAAACCAAGGTCACTCATCTTTGTAGTCAACCATATCTATGTTACCAAGGTCCAGTAAAAATTTTGGACATCAAGGCTCAAGCGAGCCTCTCTGGGTGATAATGGTCTGTGCACATTGCTGATATTGTTGCTTAGAAGCACAGGCACTGTCTCTGACCCCACTGATAGAAGACAACTAACTGAAAGCTTCATGCTTAGAACTCTCCTGTCATGTGCCTCTTGCCTTAGCTAACTTTAATCTATATCCTCTCATTGTAATAAACCATAACCATGGGTGTAACAGCTTTGAGTGAATTCTGTGAGTCCTTCAAATGAATTATTGAATCTGAAGGTGGTCGGGTGATCCTTGCTCATAGTTGACATCCAAAGTGAGAGTAGCCTTGAGGAATCCCAAACTTGGCATCACTAGATAGGTTAAAAGCAGATTGGAGATGACAGAAGAGTTAGTGAACTTAAACAGAAATGTTCAAATCTGAAGAATACAGAGAAAAAAGATTTAAAATGTGAACAGAGCCTCAGTGATATATAGGACAATATTGAAAGATCTAAAATAATGCAGAGTCTCATAAATAGATGAAAGAGGGAATGGGCAAGAAAAAATATTTGAAAAATTAATAAGTATAAATTCTTTAAATTTGGTGAAAGATATACACCTGCAGATTCAAGAGCTCAAAGTACCAGAGTAAGGAAAAATACAAAGAAAGCCACATTTTAAACTGCTGAAAATCAAAGAGGAAATCATGAAAGCAACCAAGAAAGAATTAGCACATGCCTCACATATTTTCAATTCTACTGACTTATCATCAAAATAATAGGGCCCAAGAAACACTGGAAAGGATATTTTAAACCTTTTTTAAAAATCCATCAACCTAGAATTCTGTATCCACCAAAAATATTCTTCAAGAGTGAAGATAAATAAAGATGTTTTAAAGTAAATAAAAATGGGAAGAATTCATTACCAGCAGACCTGCCCTACAAGAACTGCTACATGAAGTTCTTTAGGCTGAAGGTAAATGATACGAGAAGGAACCTCAGATCTTGATAAAGAAGTAGGTAAACAGAAAACATTTTTCCTCTTAATTCTTTAATATAACTGTATAAAACAACAACAACAAAAAACCCACATTGTATTGTGAAGTTTAAAAAGAATATAGATAGCATAAAGTACAGGGAATAAGGAATAAATGGACCTATAAACTTGTAAGGGACTTACATTTGAAAGGAAATGGTAAAATATTAGCTCAAAGTAGATTGTGAAAATTTAAGGATAATACAATGCGATCCTAGAGCAACTACTAAAATATAATGCAAAGAGGCAAAGCTAAAAAGCAAGTAGACAAGTTAAAATAAAGCCTATATGATTAAATTAATCCACAGATATCAGGAAAGGAAGAATAGAAAATAAAATATAAAGCAACAAAGAGAAATCCAGGAATAAAATGACAAACCTATATACAACACCACCAGCCATTACAATAAATGTTAGATGAATGAAATTTTCTAATTAAAAGGCCATAATTGTCAAAATCAATAAAAAAGCAAAACCAAACTAGAGGTTATCTGCAGTTAACAAACTAAATATAATGACTTATTGAAATAGAAAGTAAAGAGATGGAAAAACAAAGGACCACACCAACAGTAAGTATAAGAAGGTAAGAGTATCAGATAAAGTAGACCTCAAGACAAAAAGGCTGACCAATGACAAAAAAGAAACATTTCATAATGATAAAAGGGCCAATCTGTCAGGAAGACAAAAACAATCATAAATGAGTATGTACCCAATGACAGTTTCAAAGTCCATGAAGCCATGTTTCACAGAGATAAAGAGTAACAGAGAAGTCCACAATAATAGTTGGAGATTTAACAACCTCCTTCTTAGCAAGTGACAAAACATATGAACAAAAAAATCAAAACAAAGATGATCTGAACATTCAGCACCATTAACTGCCTTGACCTGATATCTGTAAGACATTACACCCAATGAAATTCTACAAAGTATGTTCTCTGACCACAATGAAATTAAATAGAATTTGATAACAATAATGTATCTAGGAAAATTCAAAATGTTTAAAATTAAATAACCCTTTTAGGAGTTAAAGAGAAATCACAATGATCTTAGAAAATATTTTTAAACTCAGTGAGGGTAAAAACAAAATACCCCAAAAATGACTGGAAACGGGCAAAGCAGTGTTTGGAGAAAATTTTATATTTTTCTAATATATGCATTTTTAAAATATTTGCATTATTTCTAATATATGCATTATTTTTATATTTTTATTTTCTAATATATGCATTACTTTGTATTTTTCTAATATATGCATAATTTTATATTTTTCTAATATATGCATTATTTTAATGCATATATAAGAAAATAAAAATATATTTTTATATTTTTAAAGATATAAAATATAAAAATATATTTTTAAAAATATAAAATAAAATCATATTTTAAAAATATACTTTTAAAAATATAAAACATATTTTATATTAAAATTATTAGGGATCCCTGGGTGGCGCAGTGGTTTGGCGCCTGCCTTTGGCCCAGGGCGCGATCCTGGAGACCCGGGATCGAATCCCACGTCGGGCTCCCGGTGCATGGAGCCTGCTTCTCCCTCTGCCTGTGTCTCTGCCTCTCTCTCTCTCACTGTGTGCCTATCATAAGTAAATAAAAATTAAAAAAATAATAAAATTATTAAAGATTATAAAATATATTTTTAAAAATATAAAATATAATATATAAAAATATTTTTCTAATATATGCATAATTTTATATCTTAAATTTAAAATAATGCATATATTAGAAAAAAGAAAGGTCTAAAATCAATGGCCTGAGGTTTGACTTTGAGAAGCTAGTAAGAGAACCCAAAGTAAGCAGCAAGAAGAAAATGATAAAAATGAGACCAGAAATAAGTGAAATAAAAATGCAACAAGCAATTAAAAAATTAACAAAAGCAAAAACTGGTCTTTAAAAAGATCAAGAAAACTGATAAATCTCTTTGTAGAATGATCCAGAAAAGGAGGATGGGGTGGTTTGCAGGTAATAACAAAACTGAAAGAGGTCACTAGATATCCTACAAGCATTAAAAGGAAAATAAGAAAGTTCTATAAACAACTTTATGCTACTAAATCCAATATTTAGATGAAATGAGCAAAGTCTGGAAAATATACCTTATCAAAACTGATACAAGATGATAAAATCTGAATGGTCCAATATGCAACGGCTTTCTGAACCCCAGGTTCCAAGCCCTCCAATCTATCCTATGTGCCACTGTTTGACTTGACTTCCTTAAATATACAATCTATCTTCTTACTCCTACATTTCAAAACCTCCAGGAGTTCTGCTAGCATATCTCTTGCTTAGTTTTCATATTAATCTACCATCTTCTAGCACAGTCCTTAAGGGTACTCATGCCACCATCCCTCAGATATGCCAACCCATTCTTTCACATATCCCTTTTCATCAATGCCATCTCATTCCTGGCCAAATCTCACCTATTCTTCAAGGTTCAAATGAGTCTAACCTCCTCTGAGAAGCTTTCTAGGCTCTTCTCATCCCTCAGGGTCTCCCTTCTTGGAGTTTCATGGCAATGCCACATCACTAATATGACTTGTAGGGAGGCCACTGTTGTCCTATGTATTAAGTCTTATTTTCCCAATTAAATTATAAGCTTTTTGAGGGCAAAGATTTTTTTCTTAAATCTCTATCCCTTAAGGCAACCATTCTAGGATTTAGCACACAGTAATGACTCAATAAATACTTATAATTTATTGAATGAATATATAATGCCAAGAGCTTATGTCTATGATTCTTATCAGACTCTCGAGACTGTCATTCTGATCTCAATACCATCTTCAGAGTTATCTCCAGGGATTTGCCAGACTTTTCCTAGCAACTATATTCATGAAACATCTGGTTACGATAAGCACAGGGTAGAAGGGAGGGAGGAGCAGTGCTATAATTATATAAATGGAGAGAGAGGTGCCTCAGTTTTGTAGGTCACATAAGAAAAGGGAGCTGAGTTTTACATTCTGCTGCTACTAATATCCAATAAGCATACACAAATACCAATGAGGTCACCTTCCCTTTGTCCTCTCCCTGTCCTGTGTCTTTGTGGACACAGAACAAACAATGGGGCCTCAGGGATGAGTTCCATTTATACTTCCAAACACATCTGTTCCTTCCATTCATTGTGTAGCCACATATGTTTGAGAAGAGTAATGATAACAATATCTTCTAAAAAGTAGCCAGTGACCAATACTTACTGTCTCTTCCATTACATACAAATTCCCCAAAATTTATAAATGTCTTAATTGTAACCAAGTACCATCAAACAGTGACTGCAAATCTATCTTATTTAAATAGATCTTTCAAAACATTCTCATTTATACTAAAACTAGCAGTATCATTTGTGAATATGCGTACTTTTGAGGAAAAAATACACTTCCTGTGGCATTCAAGTCACCAAGAAATCCCTTTAAACAAAATTCTTCTCAAATTCCCTTCCATTGATGACTTCCTAGCAGCTTCTCTTTCATTTAAACCAAACATTGCTTTTATATCCTCATTTCATTCCCATTCTCTCTAATTAGATAAATCTGGTTGTTCTTCTCTTTAAACAGATTATAAGGTTGGGGTGTTCTGTTTTTCCAGTATTTCAAAATTCTAATCCTTGCAGGACTGTGATGGCAGGAAGGATCATGTGATTTAGAGCAGGAAGGCTTCAAGGAAATATATCTAAGGAAATATATAACACACACACAATGTGGAGATTCTTTAGAATACAAACACACAGATTCCTGTAAAAGATAGTGGGCTACCCTGGCTACTTCCAGCCCACGGCATTGACTCAGAATCTTGAAAGCAATCCTGTCCTTACCGAGATTTGAGGATGCTCGCCCCTCTGCAGCCCGGTCCTTGAGATCCTCAGCAATGCCCAGCTGCTGCTCATGGTACTGTTTAGCCCGCTCCAAATCCTGCATACACCTGGCAGCATGGCCCAGGCCAGCATAGGCCCGCATTTCAATTGCCTTCTCCATTAATTCCTGTGCCAGCTCCAGCACATAGTTGTGGTAAGACATGGCCTTGTCAAAGTTCCTCCTGTAGTGATAGGCACTGCCCAGGTTGCTGTAGGCCCGGGCCTCTTCTCGCTTGTTCCCCAGATCCTTGGCTATCTTCAGATGCTGCTCATGGCACTGCACAGCATTCTCAAAGTCACCCATGGCAATATACACAGCTCCCATGTTGCCGAGTTCTCGTGCCTCAGAAAGCTCATCTTTGGATTGCTTGGCCAGAAGAACACACTGTTTGTGACTGGCCAGTGCATTGGGGTAGTCTCCAATGGCTGTGTACACGTGGCCCAGACTGCTCAGGGCTGATGAAGCTGCCTGGAGAGAAAGGATAAGGCAGAGAAATGAAAGCATATCAGAAAATGCCTTTGGCTTGTTTTAGCAGATAAAATGTTCAGGGTTTGCCTGTAACCATCCAACTCTGCTCCTAATGGTATTTCTATCAGTGGTCCACAGACCTGTGCAGACTGAAAAAGAGGCCATCCAAACAGCAAGTTCCTAATAAAAGACAATGGTAGTTTAATCAGTAACTTTCAATGCCTAATCTCACAGAAACAGGCTGTGTTCTATATAACCTTTGTTTTAAAGACTAATTGACATTTCTAGTATTATGCTATATCTCTATTAATAGCCATTAACCTCTGTAGTAGAAGAAAACATTAAAGAAAATCAGAATTAATTACAACATATACTACAGCATAGGAAATTCATGAGAAATCCATACTTGAGTCTTTGCACTCCTGGGCCTTTCTCTAGTTGTGTTTTCTCCCAAAGCAAATGGATAGATTAATGGTAAGGGAGATACTTAGAATGATGATTGATAATTTTGTGACTTAGGTTGACTGGGTCAATTTTGTGACTGGAGGGTTCTGTTTTCTTTTCTGCGTTCCCTCAATGTGACTTCATCAGTTGCTGATTATTGTGGAGGGTTTAGATTTGGATGAACCCCAGGGCAAAACAATGGGTGGTTCCAACCTACACCTCTGAATGGGGCAGTCCCACTGGGCCTCACCACCTGTTTTCAGGCCCACATTGGCTCTTCTAGGGTTGTTTTTGTTTTTGTTTTTAAGATTTTATTTACTTAGAGAGTGTGCACGTGCAAGTGGGGGAGGGGCAAAAGGAGAAGCAGGCTCCCCCCTGAGCAGGAAGCTGGACCTGGGCCTGGATCCCAGGACTCAGGGATCATGACCTAAGCAAAAGGTAAACACTTAACTGATTGAGTCACTTAGGTGCCCTTGGCTCTTCCAGCTTTACTCCTCTTCCCTAGAGGCTCTTCTGACCCTGGCCTCTGTGCAGAAAGAAGCTATCTTCCTAGTCCCCTCACAATGCTTGCCACACATACAGTTCTTGTGTAAAGAAAAGGACTTGAGCTCTTTTTGTCTTAAAAGTTTTAATGAAAAGGACTGTATGTCGGTAGAGTGAGCCAAATAGGGGCAACAAAAATAACACAGGAATTATATGCCTCTGAATCTTCCACAAGTGCAATTACTCTTAGATTCTAGTCTAGTTTCTAACTCCCTTGCAGAGACATAAAGGGGAAGTTACACTGGGCTTTTTCTAATCTCCCTTTGTGTTCTGTTTTGTTTAATTACTAATAATTAAGTTTGTATTCAAATTCCAGTTAGTTAACATATAGTATAATATTAGTTTCAGGTGTAGAATTTAGCGATTCAACACTTCCAATACAACAGCAGGTGCTCTTCACAAGTGTCTTCTTTGAGACACCTGGGTGGCTTGGTGGTTGAGCGTCTGCCTTTGGCTCAAGTCGAGATCCCAGGGTCCTGGGATCAAGTCCCACATCAGGAGGCTCACACGGAGCCTGCTTCTCCCTCTGCCTGTGTCTCTGCCTCTGTGTGTCTCTTATGAATAAATAAACAAAATCTTAAAAACAAAAACAGGTGCCTTCCTCAATCCTTCTCACCTATTTAACCCATCCCCCACCCATCTTTGATTCTACAAGTTGGAGACTCACCAACCCTTTCCTTCCTTCATACTGTGCCTACAGCTCAAGCCATGTATTCTCATTTCTTCATGATGATCCCTCTTCCCAACATAAGCATGTAATCCTGGCAGAACAAAGAGTTCACTCTATCACAGGTAGGCAAGTGATTTTCACAAGGGCCTCCAGGCTAGGGAATAACAATGAGATAAGACGGTCCCACCTCAAGTAAGGCCATTTCTTTTATGAGATGTGTTCTACTGTGCACTTCAGAACACTTTTATTAATATTTTATAGACGTGAGTGATTTACTACCCTATTTCTTTGCCTGCAAAATAGCAGTTCTTGATAAAAATAACAGAAACACTGACCATCTTTATGATGTTTGCAACTTGTGTATTTGCAAAGAGTTCTATATCATTTTAAGTTGCCATTAAAAAAAAGATTTTATTTATTTATTTGAGAGAGAAAGTGAGAGAGTACACATAAGTAGGGGTAGGGACAGAGGGAGAGGGAGAAGTAGACTCCCCACTGAGCAGGGAGCCCAATGCAGGGTTGGATCCTAGGACCCCAAGATGGTGACCTGAGCTGAAGGCAGATAGAAGCAATAGAGCCACCCAGGTCCCCTGCCTTTTTTTTTTTTTTTAAGTCGGCTCCATGCCCAGCCCAGTGTGGGACTTGAATTCACAACACTGAGATCAAGACTTAAGCCGAGACCAAGAGTCAGACGCTTAACTGACTGAGCCACCCAGATGTCCCTTAAGTTGCTTTTATCATTTCAAAGATACTTAAACAAAAAGATTTACAAAAATAGGACATAAGTACTCAGAAATTTACTTTCTGTTTGTTTACTTTTTGTTTTTTTCTGAATAGAGAAGAGCAGAAATGCGTCCATAAAAGTCACAATGCTGTAGCAGTTATGATTCTGGCAGAAGCAGCAATGACGTCATCAAAGAGCATGCCCCTTGGACAAGTACTGGTCTCAGGCTCCCACTTCAGGAGCCTTTTTGGGACCAGAGGTTAGAACTACACGTCAGCACATTATACATGAACTTTTCTACTGCTCATGATTCCCCTCCCCCACCCAACAATCTCCTTTTCCTCCTTTGCACAAGCCCAGGGACTTAGCCTCTTTCCTCTACTTCTGTAACTGGCCCTCCCACCTTACACTCTCAGGTTCTCCATCCAAGTCTGGCTAAGTAGCAGTAAAGTCCACAAACTCCACCCACAAATCTTTGTCACACAAAGATCTTTCACTATGGAGCTATTGTAACTTAGAATCAGATAAACTTGATTCAGAATTGTACTGCCCTGGGTTCCCTGGGTGGCTCAGCAGTTTAGCCCCTGCCTTTGGTCCAGGTCGTGATCCTGGAGTCCTGGGATCGAGTTCCGCGTTGGGCTCCCAGCATGGAGCCTGCTTCTCTCTCTCTCTCTCTCTCTCTGTGGGTGTGTGTGTGTATCATGAATAAATAAATAAAATCTTAAAAAAAAAATGGCACTGCCCTTTACTAGCTCTGGGGCCTTTAAGACACTTCACTTCTCTGAGCCTTGTTTTCCAGACAGACATTTCTAGGTTGCAGCAGTGCACCAGGATTTGAGTGTTTTCAGAACTCAGCCATGAGCCTCTGTCAAATGTATAAACCATAAATAATTCACTAGATAATTCCAAATCGTAGATCTGGAGGCACTGGAGGCGATGAGCCTTTGAACACTGCAGGGGATGAACTTATAAGGCCTGGGGCAGGCACAGCACCCCAGGCATTACTGTTCTTAGGAACTTCTAGTTTATGGCAACTCCAAATGACAGCCATGGGATCTTCTGCTTCGGTTCTTCATTTCTCTAAATGCCAGGGAGACAGAGGAGCTCAATTGCTGAAGTTCTCTGAACATAAGGAAAGGCAGTATTGGGGCATTTCTCCTCTAGGGTATGGGAAAAAGAGGAAAGGACTACCATACTAGCTCTACCCTGGTACCCTCTGGCTACCAGACAGTGCTGTCATGCTGCAACTCTTCATGGCAGGTGTCCTAGAAACCAGCATCTCTAGACAATATAATTTATGAGGCACACATAATAGTCTCTGAAATTAGAGAGGCAGCTCTACATTAGAGATATAATATAAGAATGGGGCAGGATTTAGAGTCAGAAGCTTTGGCTGTATAACCCTGATAAGTCACCTCGCTTCTTCACCCGTGTTTCCTTCATATGTAAATTGTACTGGTATCAACAGTGTAGATACTTCCAAGAGCTAAGATGGGATCAGATGAAGCAGTGCATATGAGTGTCCTGCATAAACCATAAAGTTCTCAGTGAATGCATCACTAAGGTGTGGATGGATGTTTTATGACTGCAAGCTGGCTGGGTTAAGCTCTGATACCTAGCAGAAGCTGGTAATGGCAACTGAACACATCAGTCATTACAACCAACTATATTCCTATCAGTTGCCACAGGAAATGAAGTCCAGTGTTTTACAGCCCTTGGGCAAATAACATGTGATGATATTTATCAGCTAAGTGAATTACAAATTAATCACTTGTCTTTGTTCCTGTTCCTGTAGAATAAGCTTAGATCTAAAACATGGTTTCAGGCTGTTAATGAGAATCTGAAGACCCACTATCTACGGGGAATCACAGGCCCCACCTCAAGCAGATGCTACATTTGCCACTAAGGTTAACTGCTGCCTTTGTATATTAATCTCTTTGAGATTTTTGTGCTAGAATAGCAGCAGCTGCTTCCCACAGTGGAAACATTTTGGAACATCTGTATTTGAATACTAAAATGCACACAAACAGTTATGCTAACAAACTATCTGGTTGGGATAAGACAATACTTTTTTTCTCTTTTTACAAGATATAAATTACTCTGGTTCTTGCCAAAGCATGATATCCAGCTGCAGACTTAGCACACAGGAGTCAACACCCTTTGCTCTGTGACCTGAATATTTACAGAAGAAGTGCATCTGACATGTTAGCCTTCATGAGACTAAAGAAAGAAATTTGCTCATAATTTGCAAACCACCTTTAAGGACTTCTAGTTTGAGATATAAAATAGAGAAAGTTTAAACTACTCAAATTATAACCACATTGATAACACTACCATTAAAGATTATTTTAAAGACTTAACCATGTTTTCCTTCACATCTAGCATGTCTCCCTCTCCTTCTCCATTGTATGTATTTTTCATAAGGGTATATTTTGTGGGGGGATTAACTGCACATGCAGAGAATATCCAATATAACTGCTGGCTGACTAATTGTGGATAGTTTTTTAAAAGGAGAAATACACCAGCTAGTACCAGAAATATGGTTTTCCTTCTAAATCCACATGCATCTTGTATTCTCTGCAAGTTCAGTACCCACAAACCAAGGTCCTAGGTTAACCA